GGTCAGTGCACGTCATAGCGACTGATCGACCAGTCGACTGTCTGCCCCCTGGTGGTCAGTGCACGTCATAGCAACTGGTCGATCTGTTGAGTGTCTGCCCCCTGGTGGTCAGTGCCTGTCATTGCGACTTTTTGAACAGCCGGACACTTAGCATATTAGGCTTTTATATATATAGATGATGTATAACAGGATATTGTAAAAATTAAGTGACGAAATCTTTATGATAACGTGTCTTATCTACCGTTCTATGGGCTGGGCCGCAAAAGTATTCGTTGTGGGCCGCACGCGGCCCGCGGGCTGCGAGTTTGACACGCTTGACGTACGGGAAGCGTTGAGCTCACAGAAACAACCGTGAGAAATGCCAAGGTCCTCATTGTTGCCCCAACACCTCGGCCTCTTGCAGGTCAGGGAGCTCGAAAGAGTGTCCCTATTACCTGAGAGACGCAAGGGCCACCCACGTGGGATGTCACCTCCAAGGGGCCACGGAATTCCTTTCAGAGATTTACATCCTCGTCAACGGCACCAGTCCCAGCGCTGGCATCCAGTTCTTCGACGAGACGTTGACATTAAAGACAATAGGTAAGGCCCTGGCCGGTGGGGCTCAGTGGATAGAGCGTCGGCCTGCGGACTGAAGGGTCCCGGGTTCGATTCGCGGTCAAGGGCACAGGCCCTGGTTGTGGGCTCGGTCCCCAGTCAGGGGAGTGCAGGAGGCGGCCGATCCGTGATTCTCTCTCCTCATGGATGTTTCTCTCTCCCTTCCTCTCTTTGAAATCAATTCTATATAATAAAAGGCTAATATGTAAATTGTCCCCTTGACCAGGAGTTCAACCGGGAGTTCGACCAGGGGGTGGGGCGGCCAGCTATCCTCCCTCATCCCTTCCGCCCTGCTGGCCCATCCCCATCGGCCCCAGCTGTGGCAGGCCAGCCTCACCCCCATTCTGTGCACAAATTTGTGCACCGGGCCTCTAGTGAAAATATATTTAAAAAAATAAATAAAATATCCATTCACAAAACCCCTTTGCAGCGAATGAATTTGTAAAATAAAAGACATTAGTTAAGAACCAGGATCTGTGTTTGAACCACTGCTTGTATATATACTAGAGGCCCAGTGCACGAAATTCGTGCACTGGTAGGGTTCCTAGCAGCTGCCGGCTGCTGGCTGTGGATGCCCTCCCTTCCCCCGGCTGGCCCTGGCCCCTGGTCGAACTCCCGGGAGACCTCCCAGTTGAGGGGACAATTTGCATACTACGCTTTTATTATAGAGGATATCAAAGCCCAATTTGCCTTGAAATCTGCAGAAGGTTCCTGGGGGGCTTAGAACGATGAAAATGTATCATCTCATCGTCCTGGAGACCAGGCGTCTGAGATCCAGGGGTCCCAGGGCCCTGCTCCCTCCTGTCGATCCTGGAGACCGGGTGTCCCAGGGCCACGCTCCCTCCTGTC